TCACTGGGCTTCATTTTCTTCTTCTGCAAAATGTGAAGTCCACCACCAACTTCACAAAGTTGGTGGGAGGATAGGTAATGAATCACAGACACTCTGAGCACATATCTGGCACACAGCAGATGCCCAAATAACGAAAGCTATATTATCACTGTAGTTAGGATTTTAGGACTAAAGTGGAATACAGAGCTGCAGGCCAGAGAGCTCCCGAAGGTCAAATATCAAGGTCTTAAAAATCACCAATAGGTGAACCTGGAGAAAGAATTCAAGTGGCTCTGGCCCAGATCTACATTGACTCAATAGATGAGAGAACTGCCTTTGACTTTGGTTGGGCCTGATACTACTGGTCCTACAGGGCCTTTCTGATCACAAGGGACAATGTTAAGCACCAAGAGACCCAAGTAAGAAGGGAGAAAAAACCACCATCTGCCTGAACAAATAACCTGCTACATCATGTACCTTTCACACACAATTTATCTTCCCCGATTGTCACGATATGCCTGGAGGCAGGTGTCATCACCCCTATTTTATGGACCAGGAAGCTGTCTTATGGCCAAATTGCAAAGAAGTGGTGTAGGCAGGGCTTCTATCTCTTGATCTGGGTCCAGGACTCTTACTAGACCACAATGTCTACCCCCACAGACATTTAAGAGCCCACCCGATAGATGTGGGCCAGCAGTTCTTTATCCAGTTAGAACAGTACACTGGGAATCTACTGGATTAAACGATAACCTCCCCCTACACACACACACACACACACACACACACACACACACACACAAGATTCCAGCCAGTTTGGAAATGAATACATTACAGAGGACACACAGGTGAGCCACACACACACACACACTTTCAAAAGCCTACTCTCAAAAGATTTTGACCTTTCTATAAAAAACAAACATGGCTAAAGAAACACTCTCTAGAAAGGTCAGACAGGAAGAAAAGAGAGTAAGAAATATTTTGATAGAGATAGTCAATTCAGCCAAAAATGAGACTCCTGTCTTTCTTCACCATCCATAGCTAATGAAACACCCAATAAGCATTCACTGATTGACATGCCAGTGGATGTAGTATGTGCTTACAGTCCAGGGTACCATGGGAACAGGTCATGAAGGGCCTGAGTCTGAGATCATGGGAGCGCATATGGGGGACCCAAGGGGTTTCAAAGCATGTGAGAAAGGATGAGCTGTGAGGCTTGACAGGCCAGCAGGGACCAGGCTGCACAGGCCTGTCACCACACAGACTGCACACTCTCCTAAGAGTATGGGACTCTGCTACAGAGAAGCACCATCCAATTTGCATTGTAAAAGGTTACTGTGGCTACAGCGAGGAGATCTGGTGGGGATAAGAGTGAAGTTAAAGATGTCTGTCAAACAGAACCTTTCCAACTTTTTTTTTTTTACCACAACTTGCAGAAAACACTTTACTTTGTAACCCAGTATGTATGTACACGCACACACGTACACACAGACAGACAGACACGGAGACAGACAGAGAGAGACTATGAGAGGCAGGATACCATCCAAATGGACCTGGCATTTCTGTGACCTCAGGCCAGTTCCCCCAAATGCCTTGAGCCTGTTTAGTCATCCAGAAAAGAGATAATGATGATACCTACTGCATAGATGTTGTGGTAGATAAATAAGTCAATATATGTAAACCCCTTAGCAATGTTAATCTTTTTCTGTAAAACTACTATTATACAGAAACACAGGTTTCACAAAATAAAACAATCTTACTACATGCACTCTAATTATTTTCCATTCTACTTCTTCTTCTTTCTTTCTTTTTTAATGCTGGTAAAGACCCTCTAAATTAATTTCAGAACCCAGTAACCTGGGTCGTGACCTACAGTTGAAGATGATAGCTTGGACTTGGGAGATGGCATTGAGGAGAAAAGTAGGAGAACAGAACCGACAGGACTTGGTGAATAATTAGACATAGGAGTGAGAGAAAGGGAGGTACAAAGGTGCTCTTAGGCCTCTGGGATGATGAGATGGAGAATCCAGGGTGGGGAGCAGGTATAAGTCTGTGGGAGAGAAAGAGATCAAACTCCTAAGTCTAGACTTTCCGCCTGGAGGAGGATTTGTGTGGGGGTGACAAAAGGAACTTAAGCACTTAATCAAGCAAGGAACCATGCAGAGAGACTTCATTTCAGACCTGAAGCTACTGATAAAGAATGCTTGTTTCCAGACTATGCTCGGAGAGGCAAACAGCCTTCACTAGCTGAGCACAGCAACAAGTGGCTGATGGAGGACTCGATGATTTGGGGCTCCTGCCAAATCTTTCCTTATCCGACCAAAATAAAGCACTAATCACATTTAATTAGAGTCCTTCTGCCCATCTGTTTCCTCTACTAAGCAAGCAGCTTCTGGGCAGGGGTCTCCAATCTTCTCAATCTTTCTACTCCCCAGGCCTCCTGAGCCCACTGCCTGCTACCTGCAGTAATAGGTGCTCAACAAACATCTGCTGAATTAAGGCCACTTACAGTGCAGGAAACTAAAATAAGGCAGAACAAATGGGAGGGGGGAGGCAAAATCTGCTAGGAGATTCCGATGATTTAAGAGTGTGGGCCAACAAAAAGCCAACTGTTCACAGAGAAAACGAGTCTGCAAAAAATTGTTAAACTGTGGAATGCATGATGGGTATGGATCTTCATCACAATGATCAGAAACACTGAGCAGGTCTGGGATGGAATCAGAAAGACAAAGGAAAAATAAAACAGGAAAATGAGACATAATGTTTATATATCATTTGGCCTCTTCCAAAGATCACCCTAAACATTTCATTCTTTATATCACTTCTCTTGCTACATTTTTCCATCAGCTGTTGGCCTTCTCTGGGATGCCTCTCTATCTCCGAACCTCTGCCATCCTCCAAAGCCAGCTCTTGTATGTTACCTATTTTTTTCTACATACACATGACTTGTTCCCCTAATAGACAGGAACAGTGTTACATGCTTTTACCCACTCCACCCCCAGCTTACACAGATGAGGCATCAATAGTGGTTGGTTAATTGATTTTTATACTAATTGATGGATTTGGGCATTAAATACCAAATTCAGATTCATATTTTCTAGTCTTACCCCCTTTAGGGCAACCATTACTAAAGCTACCATTTTTAATAGTAACAGCTCCATTTATTTAGCATCTACCATATACAAGATACAGCTAAGGACTTGAAACACATCTTAATCCTCAATCTGCAGGGTTGGGACTATTATTCCCATTTTACAGATGACAAGATTGTGGCTCAAAGACAACATAATTTAGTTAAGTGACGATATCAGAATATTCAAACCCAAGGTTACTTAACTCCAAAGCCAAATAAATGTGCAATCACTCTAAAATTTTAGCATGACTTTCCTTGGCACAGAAGAAGCATGGAGAACGGCTTATCTGATATGAAATCTGCACTCAAAGCTCACCAAGACATAATTAGAACTCAACTCAGAGAAAGCTACTTTTAGGTCACAGTTTATCAAGACCTATTCATTCATTTCCTACAAATACATAGGTCAGGTTAAGCTCACTTTAACTCTTTTTTAAAAATGGCATCATTTGTTTCTATAAGAATGTTTAACGTAAACTAAGACACCAACAACATTCAGAACAATCGAATCATTAGTGTCAGGTAGTTAACAAAGTAATCACGACACTTGTCTCTCTCATGTTACAGACCCCCAAAAGCTTTCACATACATTATTTCATCTGGACATCTCGGTAACTGTGAGACGAGTACTGATACTCTATTGTACATAAGGGAAAAAAAGACTAGAAGTTTGGTGAGTCGCTGAAGGTCACAACATCTACTACTTAGGACCCTCAGTTATGTGATAGAACAAAGCACTTTCAGGGAGCCTGGGCAAAGAGAAACTGCCACAAGGAAGGGCAGCTGGGCAGCAGAGCACTCCTGACGAACACGTTCCCTCTCTCCACTTCTCTCTGCCTGTGGCTTCCTCCTGCCCCACGGCAGCCAGCTTTCTCCTCCGGACAGGAAACCGGGGACACGCCAGAGTTCCAGACCCCCATCTCTCCAGCTTCACCATCTCAGAGGAAAAGGCTCTTGTGCTTCAAGTTCAAAACTCCAGGGAGATGGGCTTGAAATGATGCCCACCATGCCTCTCTCCTCTTCTTAGCTCTATGCTCAGAGGGTGGTGGTAATAATGGGATAGACAGAGGCAGCTTCTCCGAAGACATCTCTTCATTAAATCCTCTCCCCTCTCACAGTCTGACCACCACTATTCCACCTAATATCTCCGATCTGGATGTGGTAAAACCAGTTCTAGGGTTTTCCCACGGTAGTTTCCACATAAGAGGCCACCTCGCCTTTGGAATACACAGGATACCCCTGCACTGGCAGCTCTGCAGAAACAGGCAGAGAAAAGCCCCATTTTAACATCCTATTTCATGGCTGCGATTACTACTTTAGAGTCTCTAAAACACCCAGGCTTCACAATAAATTCTTCCCTTCCACTAAAAAAAAAAAAAAAAAAGAGGGAGAGGCCAGTCAGGTCAAAGGTCCACCTGTGGCACAGGGTGCCATTCAGGAACCGCACTTAACAGGCCCCAAGAGGGGACAGAGAAGCAGTTCCCCAGAAGGAGGAGGTGCCAGTTCCAAAAGGAAGAGGACCAGGCAGCTTAAATAATAAAAATAAGTAGAAATTCTGTACACACAATTGCTAAGCCACTGTTCTTCAAATGCTAAGTCCAATAATCATTCTTTCTACACCACAGCTGACATTATTTGGGCACTAAAATGTGAAGCAACAACAGTAAAGAACAGCCAGTGCGTAGTAAGGTGCTAACTGTGCAGTAAAGATATTTCGTGCAGAGTTAGAAAAGAGAGAGATCAATGTACCCATTTACATCTGAGTAATACCCTAAAATTAGAGCTCTCCACACCACAGATTCTATGCTAAAAACAAATAAAAACTGTATTTCTTCATCAATTAAAGTTAGACTAGCTTTCCCAGCCTCCTCGCATCCGTTCCGCCCCTTACTGCTGAGTGACAGGAGCCTCTCCTTAGGTCCCTGGAGTCTTCTTAGTCCTCTACTCTGCCAGACGGGTCATCCAGACTCAAGCGATGACTACAGTACCTTCTTCTTCTGAGGAAAACAGGAATCAGAAACACAAAACCTGTCCACAAAAACAAACCCAGGAGCTCAATTCCGTGCAAGGACTGGAGGGCTGACGAAAGATAGACACATGTCAGTGTATGGCTGGTAGTCACAGTGAGCCTACCCAAGGATGAGGAAGCAGGGGGCAAGGACACGAAGCACGCAGGGCACTTACCCATCACTACCTTGTTAAGATTGCTACAAGTCACTTGGGTCAGGTTTTTTTTTTCTCAATTCTTCTTTAATTGAATCAAACACTTCTATAGCTTTCACTACCTTCCGGGCTCTGTTCTAAGTGCTTTACAAATATTGTGTTTTAGCTAATAGAAGTTAACTTTCACTAGCTTCACTGGCTGCACATACTTACAGAGACCTCTAAAAAGAATCTAGGAGACAGGATTTTTTTTCTCAAAGGTCTAACCTAAACTTAGATGGCTGAAATCAACCTTCATTTCTCTAGTTCCAGTATTTTGCTTCTCTCCCTGAGTTCATTTCATTCTCTACTTCCAAAGATTAGAGATAAAAGTTAACATTCATTAACAGTGTGCCAAGCACTTTCTATCTATGATCTTACCTGATTCTCATAGCAATCCTATAAGGCCCACTTTTCAGCCATCTTCACAGAAGGGCAAACGGCTGAGCAAGGAGAGGAAACTCCCTGGGCTAACTTTCCACCCGGCAACTGGCAGCGATGAGTAGCAGGGAAAGATTCCAGCCCCAGCAGGGAGACTGCACACTCCCAGTTTGTACCCACACTAAAGTGACTCTCTGGAGAGCAACTCTTGTATGATGTCACTGGAAGAGCCACCCTTGGCAAGAACACTTCTGGGCTGCTCCTTCGACAAATTTTTGTTATTGAGGTCAAATTCACATAACATAAATTAACCATTGTAAAATATTCAATTCAGTTGCATTTAGGACATTCACAATGCTGTGCAACTACTGCCTCTATCTAGTTCCAAAACTATTCATCACCCCAAAAGAAAACTCATACCATTACGTGGCAATCCCCATGCTCCCCTCCCCCAACCCCTTATAACCAACCACCCATATGCTTTCTGACTCTACTTACTTACTCTGGCTATTTCATATAAATGGAATCATACAACATGTGGCCTTTGTGTTTGGATTCTTTCACCTATAGCATAGTGTTTTCAAGGTTTATCCAGGTAGTATTTTGTTCCTTTTCGTGGCCGAATAATATTCCATTGTATGGATATACCACATTTTGTTTATCCATTCATTTACCGGTGGACATTTAGATTGTTTCCATTTGGGTATTGTAAACAGTGCTACTATGTACATCTGCATTTGAGTCTTTATTTTCAATTCGTTCACATACATACCTCAGGTAGAACTGCTAGGTCCTATGGCAATCCTATGTTTAACTTTTTGAGGAACTCTTTAAAATATTTTAGAGATATGAAACTCTACAAAGAAAATCCAAAAGGCAACTGAAAGCAAAATGCAAAACCAAAGTGAACTCAAAGTTTAAAAAATGTTTTTCTAGTCTCAATCAATTTTAATTAAGTTCAAATCTGGGCAGAAGGAACCCAAACACTACAATTTTTAAAAGGCCAAGAACACTAGGAAGAAAAAATTAAGATACGCAATACTACCAAATAATTAATGAATTGTGTTTCCACAATACTTTTAACAACAAAATCACACCTAAGCCAGGCGCCACTAAAAAGTACATGGTTTGCTGTGCGACTTTTGAACCAAGGAAAACAATGGGACAGCTTTCTGTTATCAGAAAGGATTGGATTCTCTACCCTGGCTCTCATTTTTAGTAAAACTATTTCTCTCTTTGGAAAGACATAGCCTCTAGCATCAAAAAAAGCCAGCACTCTTTAACTCTTTAAAAAGCAATTTTGCCACATCATATGTCATCAGAGAAATGTAAATTAAAACAAGATACTACTATATACCTATTAAAATGGCCAAAATCTGGAACACTGAAAACATGAAATACTGGTGAGGATGTGGAACAACAGGAATTCTCATCAAGTGCTGGTGGGAATATAAAACACTTTGGGCATTGGAAGACAGAAGACGATTTGACAGTTTGTTACAAAACTAAACATACTCTTACCAAACAATCCAACAATCATTCTCCTCAGTATTTATCCAAAAGATATTAAAATTTATGTCTACACAAATACCTGCACATACATGTTTACAGCAGCCTTATTTATAACTGCCAAAACTTGGAAGCAACTAAGATGTCCTTCAGCAGGTGAATGAATAAAGAAACTGTGGTACATCCAGACAATGGGCTATTATTCTGCACTAAAAAGAAATGAGCTGTCAAGCCATGAAAAGACATGGAGGAACTTTAATGCATATTACTAAGTGAAAGAAGCCAATCTGAGGCGGCTATGATTCCAACTTTTTGGTCTTCTGGAAAAGGCAAAAACTATGGAGACAGTAAAAATATCAGTAGTTGCCAGGGGTTGGAGGTGAGAAGAACAAATACGGAGAACATAGAGGATAATTTGGGCAGTGAAAATATTCTTTATGATACTACAATGATGGATACATGTCATCATATGTTTGTCCAAACCCACAGAATGTAAAATACCAAGAGTGAATCCTAATGTAAACTATGGACTCTGGGTAACAATGATGCATCAGTGTAGGTTCATTAATTGTAACAACTGTATCACTCGGGCGGGAATGTAGATGATAAGGAAGGCTATGCATATTTGTGTGTGGTGGGGGGGCGTGGTGAGCAGAGGGTATATGGGAAATCTCTACCTTCTGCTCAATATGTCTGTGAACCTAAAACTGCTCTGCAAAAGTAGTCTTAATAAAAAATAAATCTTATGTCCTAGTCTTTAAAATAATATTTCTAATTAGCTTTAAACCACAAGTACTACCTGAAGAATGACTTGCTAGAAACTTAGTCTGGAACCAAGGGAGAGAGGGGTAAACATGAGAATCAATCCAGGGTGCACACATACCCTCTCTGCATTTGGTCTTTCAACAACTTTCAGGAGGCTGACAATCACCAGTGATGTTAACTGGGAGGACAATGACAAGATGGGAATTGCAGAGGGACTGTACTAAAAGAAGTCACATCGGCACCTTTAAATAAAGTGAAGAAAACAGTTTTCTGAAGCACACAGTAAGCTAACTACAAATGACAAAACTGATTCTTCTCAGATAAGCAAGACACTGACATGACAGGGATGGCTGGCAAATCAGGTAACAGGCAGGCATGTTGGCAGGATTCACTGGGCAGGTGTTCAATTAGGCAGGAAGTGAGCTGAAAACAACTCAATTAATTCACTGTGCATGCCTGTCCCAGAGAACAATATAACCCTGAAACACCAGCAGCAGGCCAGAGATTAACTCACAGCTCACTTTTTCCAAAAGTGGTGGCTAGTAAAGATGTACATGCAAAAATATAAAATTACATGGAGATTAGCTCTGGTAAATCCTTTAAAGTTCAAACTAAAACTGAAGGCCAGGAAGGAAACAAAATGAGAAGGCAGCCTATTATAAATCAAAAAAGTCATTCCCCTCTCTCGAGTGGCTCTCCCTGGTCAGCCTCAGATACAGGGAGCCCTCCATGCTTGGGCTGGGAACATGGTAAGGACAAACACAGACATGATTTAAAAACCGAGAGCAAAGTGATGGACTCTCCCTTATTTGTAACATCCCTTAGGTGCAAAGGTAGGCAAGCTGAGATTTAACTCCAGGCCACCTGGGTCTGAATACACTAAAACAAAATACATAAAAGCATGAGGAGCCATTTGGTAGAGGCTAGGAAAAGAGAGAGACACTGGGAATATAAAATCAAGGGAAGAAAAACAAAGGTTATCAGGATCAACATCTGGCAGAAGACTATAGGTCCTTAGAAGAAAGTGGGATTTCGCCTTCCTGGCAGCCAGCATCACATCCCTGGGGCCTGAGAAGAAACAGACTGCTTGGCACTCAAAGCAGAGCATTCAAGCTAGAGGGAGGCTAAAGCATCTGGGCCACTCTCTTTTTTAGAGAAAACAATACTGAGGTGCAGAGAGGTTCAGCAACATATCTAGGACCAACTGTTGACAATGGCAAAGCCAGGTCAATAACCCTTGTCTCCTATAAGGCCTTCCACTAATAATATAAATGATGATAATGATAGCTTTTATATGCTGAAGACCTTATGAACAGATATTATAATGAGGGCTTTACATATATTATCCCATTTAATCTTCAACAAACTATAAGGTAGTAGTACCATTATTGGCCCATTTCACAGATGAGGTGCAGAGAGGTTAAGCTACTTGCCCAAAGCCATACAGTTTGTTAGAAGCACAGGCAGATCTACAACTACATGGAGGACATTATGCTAAGTTAAGTAAGTCAGATACACACAAAAAACAAATACAGTATGGTCTCACTTATATGTGAAATCTAAAAAAGCCAAACTCATAGAATCGAAGAATGGATAGAATGGTGGTTGCCAAGGGCTGGGGGTGGGTGGCTGGGGAGGAAGAAAGAGATCATGGTCAAACTTTCAGTTAAACTTTCAGTTAAATTCCAGGGATATAATGTACAACACAATGACAAGTCAATAATGCTGTACTGTATACTTGGAATTTGCTAAGAGAGCATATCTTAAGTGTTCTTATCACACACACAAAGTAGTAACTATGCGAGGTGATGCATATGTTAATTAACTTGACTGTGGTAATCATTTCACAATGTGTACATATATGATATCATCACGTTGTATTCTTTAACTATGTACAATTTTTATTTGATAATTATACCTCAATAAAGCTGGGGAAAAAAATAAGTAAGAGAGAAAAAATGCAGCACAGGCAGGATGGAAACTGAGGTCTAGCTAAAGTCTGTGCTCATAACCATTATACTTGACTGCTTCCAAATAAGGGATTAAGTCACATTTTCAACTTTCAAATATATAAACCAGAAATTTTCTATCATGGGACAATTTTTAGTGTCTACACCTTTACCTCTCAAGGTAAAAAACAATCAGCACTAATGAATATGAAGAATAAAAAAAATGTGTTAACTGGGGAGAAAGAAGGTTCAAAACTCTCCAACCTAGACGACAGAACTGAATAGCTGAGATTTGAAAAATTAGGTGCAAATGCCAGAACCAAGTCCTTTGGGGATTTTGTCCAGTATCTGGTGTCCATGGTCTTGTATCTTCAACATGTCACTTACTTTCATGCGGTTCTGACTGGACAGCAGTGCTGCTAGGCCCCAGTTGGTGATTTCAGAAATCAATATTTACCAGTTCTTGGAGCTGCCATTAAAAACATTACTGTGCTGGACAAAAAATCACCAGCTTAATCATACACAAGCCTACATTCAGTTTCTGGAAAAAGCTGTGCTTTTTTTTAATCATGGCAAAAAAAAAATTAACATGAAATTGAAACTGTTGCTTTTTGATTAAATAAAAAGCACCTGGCTATTCTAAGAAATGCCACTCATATTCTCAGATTCTACAATGAATCCTCTCTCACTGCATATGGGAGATGCTTTGTTTCCTCTGACCTACAAAGCCACAACATTTCCCTGCACGCAGACACCTGCTCCACTGCAACAACCACTTCCTTTCACTGTATGACCAAACCACAGGTTCAAGCTTCTAGTTCAGTTCAAGATCTACAACCACCACAGAACTGAAGCTCTAGACGGTGACTTCCGCAGTAGACTGGCATGAGTCATTTAATCCCTCCTAATACTAATCATAAAAACAAGAGTAGCAGAAGACACTTTCTGACGGCTTATCAGATGCCAAGCACTGTGCTAGAGGCACTTAATTCCAGTTACCTCTTCCAACCTCATAGTACCCCTGAGGTAGGTTCCCTTAGGACCCAGCTAAAAAATGGAATGAAGCTTAGTAAGGTTAAGGAGGTTACCTAAAGCCACACATCTGGATGCTACACACACAATATTCAAACCTAGGTACCTCAGACTTCAGAGCCTGACCTATTAACTATCACACACCGGGAGTCTTTCTCTTTCTGCGTTCCTCACGCACAAAGCATGGGAAAGACCACCACTCTCATTACCTCATGAGGGCATTGAAGGATGTCTTGACTTCTCTCAGTCTGAAGTTCTCCCAGACAGACCCATGGACCAACTATGTACTAAACACTGCGTTAAAGACAGAGGGAATATAAAAAGGAAAACAGATCTCTGCGCACCAAAGGATTTTACAGTCTAAACTGTATTGATCTAAACCATAATCCCTATCTCTCTAGGACATTTCTGACCATGACCCACAGTCAAAAATGTATTTCCATCATGATCCTCAGGACACACACACATATACTAAGCCTTACCATGTATGATATACTAATATATTTTATTATGTCTTTTTTTTTTTTAATGTGTCAGCCTACTAAATTGATCCTGTGACTATGAACTGCGGATGATAACTTGAAGAGCCCTGCTCTAGAATGCTTCATTTTAGCTCTTATTTAAAAAAAGAAAAAAAGGAAGTTTATCCTTATAGCTAATTTAAGTTTCTTAGGCTATCGGGTTAGTTAAATTTGGATAGCTAGATACATCCTCAGGGCAGAGGCAGCAGTTTATCAGATTAGGTAGGGGCCTGGGACCTGGAATCGGCAGACCTGTGTTCAAATGCTGACTGACTCACCTGCGTGTTAGCTGGGTAACTTCTCTAGATCTTGACCTGTAAAATAGGAGAAAATACCACTCACCCCTTGGGCTTGTTACAAAGCGCCTACCTGGTACCTGGTTCTGTTTTCCTTAACCGAGGCATTAGGGGCACTGGATGGGAAAGGGCAGACGACCCTAGTTTGTGGGATAGGCCTGCAGAAGAGAGGACTTTCAGCCTCCTGGCCCCATACAGCTCCCAACACCCCCTGGTGGCTGAGAGCCAATTCTGCACAAAAAAATATACATGTGGCTGCAGCTGCCTTTAAAATCGCCCCACAGCCTTCTTTCCACCATGTTCAATTATTCCCAACTCCTTCAAATTTTTTATGTAGACATCAATTGTGTTTCACATAAAAGTACGACATGTAGATGCCTAAGCTATAACAGGACACTGGCCACATCCCTGCCTCTGCAGAGCTTGCCATCCAGCTAGGCAGATGGACAGGTAAACAGGTTCCTTTAACTGCCAGATGGTATAACTGAACTCTGGGAGCCCAAGGAGAGAGCAGCTCAAGTTGGAAAGTCTAGTTCATAATCCTATCTGTAATTCTTGTAGTAGAAAAAACCACAACCTGTGAATTTCTAATTTACAATGCATTAAGATTTAGAGACCACCATCATCATCACCATGCTAAGCCTCAAGCCTTGATGAAAAAGCATCCTTGTCTGCACCCACGTCTGTATTAGGAATCTTACAACTCCAGGTCTAGCCAGATCTAGCTAGGTCTGATGAGACTAAGTTCATGAGGTCAGAAGTAAAGCTAATTACTCAAGATCACACTGCAAATGTACACAAAATTGGAATTCCCAAAGATCAAAACTCACTGGTCACTTTCCTAATTCCTCTGGAACTTGCCCTATACTTGTCTAGACTCAAACTTACAAGAGAGGGAGAGTGGGCTAGAAGGCCTCCCATTAAGTGGTCAAAAACTTAAGACTGAATCTACTAGATGCTTAAGTAGGCCTTCCGAGAGATGAGGCCAGAAGGCCTCAAATTTGACTTTAAAAGTCATTTCAAGATAATTATAGTAATTGTACAAGTATGTACTAAAAGTATTGATGTGTCCAATGTATGTGTTTAAAGAAATCAAAAACCTCTTTTTCTAAAATCCTGTTTGAGTATTTCTTCAGATTTTTGAATACTGGGCCTGGGCACTTGAGAGTAGCCATGTGGTTAACACAGACTTCCTAGAGCTCTGGATCAAAGCAAAGGAGATGACTATCTCCTACTCCACCCCAATACCAAAAAAGAGTGGGAAAATCTTGGAAAGATTCTAGCTAAAATAAGGGTCCCTTAGGGTTCTTTATGCTTCTTCCTATTCCTCTTGCTTTGGGGAAGGTGTTTGCTGGAAAGGTCAGTTGCTAAGGCCCTTAGGGATAGGGGGTTTCTCAGGCCTTTGCTTCTATAGCTGAGATCAATGATCTCCCCAAGTCACAGTGTTTGAAAATAAAGACAGATAGTAAACCATTCATTGAGTCCGAGGTGATTTTATGTACATCATCTCTCATTCACATCTTACCACAGCTCTGCGAAATAGTATTATCCCCAATTTACAGGATGCAGACTCAGAGAGGTTAAGTAAAAAGCCAGGAAATAAATGGCTGAGAGGGAAACTAGGATGGGTCCAGGCACTCCTGACCGTGAACCCACTGCGTACCAGCCAGCAGAGACAACGTTTAAGAGAGCATTCTTTCACTTTCAGAACACTACTGATTTTAAATAAACACCTCCTCCAACATTTTTTACAAAACTTTCAGGGGAAGCTATGGGGTATGCTATCTAAAAGTCTCCAGTCTGTGACATCCTTTAAGAATCCTCATCTGGAAAATGGGGGTTATGATGGCTCGCGGGGAGTACTGGGTGGGACGATGTCTGTGCAAAGCATCTAAAAACTGACACACCAGCAAATATAAAAGACTGTGGACAGCAGCATCACTGCCAGCACTCTGTAAGGAGCTAAGGGGGAAGAAACTGCAAAGACAAAGCCAACATCCACCCAAAAGCTTATGTTTACTCCTCAAAAATATAGGGCAAGCACAGAGCACTGAAGATGGAGGACTATTTAGGCCAACAGCCAGCGCATACAGAGGTGGTAGTTAAAATAACTCCGTCACTATTATCTTGTGGATCTTATCACCTCACTGCACTTACCTGAGGTCTTAGGCAAGAACACCTACAGAAAAACAGCAAAACAGGAGAAAATCCAACAAAGGGTGAAAATTGAATTCTGTGGTCCAGTTACCTCAGAATGAGAGCCTGAAAGACAGCTCTAGTTCCACACTGAAGCCCCTTTGAGTTGAAGGCCTGCATCCCCAACACCCCAGCTGGCCTCCTCTGAGAGGAAGGTCACACGTGACCTCAGAACAGACCCAGGAGCTGCTACCACACTCCTCATTCCCAATCAGGGACGTCTTCCATATCAGAGCTCCTAAGACCAGTGTGATGTGGTGCAAAGGGCAGAGTCTCGTCAGAAGGACTTGGGTTCAGATCTCTGGCCCTATTGCTTACACTCTCGGTCTGTGGGCAAATTACTGCACCACTTTGACTCTGTTTCTTTACCCGCAAAATGGAGACAATAATATCTATTTCCAAGATTGTGAGGACTAAATAAGAAAATGTATATAAAACACTCAACACACAGAAAATCAGCAACTGGCAGCTATTGCTAACATAAGCAGAAGACAACTACGGCCGGGTAAAAATGACATTTGCTTTCTTAAAAGAAAAAGGTTTCATGAAGTTAGTGAGAATCAACAATTTTCAGAAAATTCAAGAAAGCGGGGTAGAAAAACTACACTCCCCTGCTTCCTGATTTCTGAAACCTCTCCACCACTGGCTCTCCTACAGGAATTGAGTAGTGTCTCCTTACCTCCACACTCTTCACACTTTATAAATACACCACACGACCAATCAGGGAGTGCCTGCTGCCTAACTCCTGGGCAAACAAGTCCAACAGGATTTGATCTGGAAATTAAATGTCCACGCAGCCCAGCCACACTCAGTTCAAAACAGATATCTGTGACCTACTTAGTCTTCGAGTACTATTACCAAAGCCAAAAACAAGCGGACAGGGAGACAGGGCCGCTGACTTCAGCAGGGGCCTGCACAGAACCCCTGGCCTTCTTTGTCAGATGAAACGTGCACTGAAACAGTGATGACTCAAAAATTATCTTGGGGTAGCTACGCAGAAACCTTAGCTTTAAAACAGCTGGTCAGTTTTTTAAAAGCAAAGGGTCACAGAAGTTACGCTAAGAATTCATTACCTCTGACTAGCCTCAATGATGCATTTTCATTCATTTAGACTAAAGGCTATACATCTCATGACAGTCACTTTTCAAGCTACCTATCCCTCACCCTCACAATTGTTTCCTGAGTATATGGATCTTCCCCATGTAACAGTGGGTTCTTTGAGCGCTGAGAACCTGTCTTCTCTATCTTGATATTCCACACAGTGTCTTGCACAGCGCACAATGCCTGGTGTATTAAGAAGCAAGCACTGCCAAGCACCATGAGATGGTAAGCTCCTGCCCTCGCCAGCTGAGTCCTTCAGATCTCAGCTCATTCGCATGATTGGCTGCTCAAGATTAGAGAACAGAAAGAGACAGACTGATTATTTGCTATAAAGACAAGGAACAGAGACAAGACCAGAGATACTTTAAACTATCACATAACTACAAAATGATCCCCTACGTTACAAGTCATTTCACCAGGGAGATGTGAGTCTTAGGGAGGATGAATCAAAAGACCTTGGCAGAGACACATTCCAGTAAACCCCAGAGCTTTCCAACATACAGTACTAGGTAGACAAAGGAACACTACGCTTTACCAACTAAGGGATAGTGGAGGAAGCAAGCTGATGGTAAAAATGGAAGCAAGCAAAGCAAACCTGCTACTCCACACCCAAGTCCATCCTCAAATCTGAGATCAACCTCGGATGCTCCTTCCTATACTACTGGATACTCAAAACTCCAACACAGAAATTTACTTGACAGCCCTTGAGTTTACTTAGCACTATCCTACATCATGACATGTAATCATCTATAATTGTGGAAAGCAAGTAGAACGAGCATTTTTACCACCCATTTTACAGGTGAAGAAACAGAGTCAAAGAGGTATAGCACAGGCAGAGTGAGTAATCATGGACTCCAACTACCATAAGCCAGAGAGCCCAGGTCTCTGAGTCTCTGTCCTGGGTTCGGATCCTGTCTCTGGAACTACTTACTCTCTGTACCTTAGGAAAACAACTTTGTTTTAAGTCTCAGATTCCCCATTTATAAAATAAGGAATTTAAAAAAGCAAGGGCGGGGGGATCTCATAGTGAATATACTTAATGCACAGAACTATATAAAATGGTTAAAGAAGGTAAATTTTATGTTACGTATATTTTACAATAAAAAATTAAGTTAACATTTATATTAAAAAAAGGATCTCACATAGTCATAGTGAGGATTAAACAGGATGTTATAATGACAAGTTCTTAAAATACCTAGCATATCAAATCCTAATAGCTAATTATGATTTATAGTAATTTTAAGTTTTTATTATAAAGATGATACATGATCAAGATAGAAAATGCTGAAAAATAAAAAGATAAAAAATTTCCTGTGATACCAAAAGCCAGAGATAACCACTGAAAATAAATTCTTTATAGTATTTTTCCCATGCATAAACAGATAGTTCTTAAGTTTGCAAGGTAATGTATATACAATTTTGGAGTAATGATCCATTCTTTTCTGCCTTACCAGGAATTGCAAAAACAATTCTCACAACAAATCCAGATATAAAGGGACTTTGTTCAAGGCAAGGATAAAAAGTGGCATGAAACTTGAGACAGGAACAAGGAGTATGCATTGAACAACTGGAAACACCTGTCTCCAGAACCAGGATGGCAACTTACACCAAATCCCCTACCACCTGTTTCTCCCTTCTCCATCAAAATTTACCCACAAAGTAGGCACTCTGGGAAGGCGGGGTGCTCTGGCCAAGGAGGACAAAGGCCACAGAGGAGCTCT